ACAGATATTCCCATACTTTGGCCTGGCCACTATGGTCATGCACTATTACACAGCAGTTTTCAATATATACAGGCTATTTATGTGGTTACAATATGTACAGCTATACATGAACTGACCTACTTATGTCCACTATTTGGCTGCCAATAAAACAATATTTATATGTAAAATGATCTAACTTTCTCACCGGAATTTTGTATCCTGTGTTCAATTTAGTCCAAATATTTTATGTATCCACGATTCCTAGTATGTTCATGAACCATGTATCAAAATATTGTAACTGCATCCTATATATTTTTTAACTTTTAGACGATTTTAATCAGAGCTGAAATTTTATTTGTTTTCCTTGGTCACTGTCAATTAATATTAAACGTTTTGTTATATTAACACGACTATAATATATATATATATATATATATATATATAGTGATACACATAATTTTAATATAAAATAGTTTTATGATATACAAAACGTGAACCGCTGCAACAGGCTATATTTTCCTTAATACTTGCATAAATTGCTTCATTTTAACACATGTTGTAGAGAAAGGTCTAAAATTTTTGTCGATGCCATAATTTGTTCCCAGTCTTGAATTTCGAGGAAATTACAAGATTAAACAAACATGCCTGAAAATTAGATATTGTGCCAAAGTGATTCATGGAAATTGTTGAAACACATAAGCTATTCTTAAAACAGCTTTCAGTTAGAGATACAAGTTTAAAACCTTGCCATATGACAAATGGAACACCATTTAACTACGGCCCGCCATTATGACATATTACTCGTATCACCAGGGGTATTGTTCGCAAATATACCCCGAGTGAAATGTTGACTTTGTTCACAGTTTATATAAGGCGTGAATAGTCATGTTCGAATAAGATATAGGGTAAAATCTTATATTGGCCATCTATCTTATGAGGTCTCCAACCTTAGTGGGACGATACATGTCTGAAGTCGCGCATTATCGCATATTCGAACATGATTGTATTCAGGCCTTCTTTAAACTGTTAACAAAGTCAACATTTCACACGGGGTATATTCGCAAATAATGTCCCTGGTGATACGTAACGGTTGGTCTTAGTAATGGCGGACCACAATGAATATTCCAAACATTTTGGTGAGTTTTCAATTTCAAATCGTAATATAAACCTCAGACATGTCAGAGCAGGTGTAATCTTGTCGAATACATCCTTTAGGGCTAGGCATAAAAGCTTTCGAACCCCTCATTCCCTTCGGTCGTTCTTCGGGGTACAGAAAACGTTTGTGTCTAGCCCTGCGGGGTGTATTCGACGAGATTACCCCTGCTTTTCGGTCTATATTTCTTAAATATTCCTAATAAGCAACGAGCAAAAACAAGCTTCCAAAATATGACGTGGTTTAACACTATAGTTTTGTTCTGTCATCCGTGCTTTATTCTGATGAGTGAAATATAAAAGATAGAAGCAAGTAAAGAAATTTATGATTTTGTATTTTCTTGCTTATAAAATTAGATAAAAAATGAGCCTCAAAACGAATGTATGGCGTAGAATAATGGAAATAAAAGAGCTGGATGTAGCCATAGATCTATTCGCCAATGAATATGCTCATTTTTGGGATAAATTGATTAAATCCCCCATTGGCCGCCATTATAAATTTTGAAAAACGGCATATCGCCATCATTTAAAAACATTCGTTTAAGGATCCAATAACCTCTAAACGCTAAGGATTCATCGGATTCTAATGAGTGACGTTCGTACAACATGATTGAAACTCCCGTTTGATTTTTTTGCTGAAAAATTACGATTTCTACATCCTGATGTCTTATCAACATCATTCGAGTATTTATATGTTCCTGACACGTTTGGGCATCCGGTAATGACAAATCGGGAAGACAAAAAAATGTGATATTCTTCAGAATTGTTTATAAAACTATTTACAAAAATGTTCCCGAGACACAAATCCTTTTAGGTAAGGTTTGTTTTAAAGTCGAAAAGATCCAATAAGACAATAAAAACCCAGATAAAACCCGGGAGACTGAAGATTTCATGTTATGATTAACGTTCATGTAAACAAGTGAAGTATAATCTTCATAGTATAAAACACTGGCCTACGTGACATGTAATAACATGTTCAAACTGAAATATAGAAAATTTTCAACATAGCATTTGCTTCCGTGTTCTGTATGCCCCTCTACCTGCTTAATAAGGCAATATGTCTTCAAATAAAACCTTAGGCAAGTAGCTTATAGATTAGGGTCTCTGGAACACTTTTGAAAGTAGTTTTCACAAGCAATTTTGTTTGTGAATCTCAAATTTTGTCTTCCCCATTTCAGTCATGAATTACGTAGATTTCGCGTGCAAAGTTTGGGTAGACGTTGTTATTCCCAAACGCCCAAACGTGTCAGGACCACATAGATACTTGAATTATCTTGATTGGACATCAGGTTGCAAAGAAATCGTAATCTTACTGAGTGGCTTCACGAAAAAATAAAAAGGCTATTCACCTTTCCACAAAGTCAGCTCATGAATATTATAATGAGCCGCTTACAAATCTATGACGTCAATGGAAGAAACTTTTTCCCGCGAAAAAAAAATGCAATTGAGTTTACATGTAAATCCTCGGTTGATTGCTGTAAGTTTTACCTCTTCAAATGTGCAAGTAATCAGTAAATTATTGACGGATTTTTATTGAACGTCAAATTGACATTTATTGACGCCTTCTAAGCGATTTAAATGTTAAATTTCTGTTCATAATGAGTAAATAATTTGAAGAGAATTACTCCCGGTCAGTCTTCAATCATGATAGGAACTGGATGAGAACAGATGAAATTATCATAATCATTAGTTCACCAATATTATAACGTGTCTCTCATGCATGAAAATATATAGATACACAATCTATTTAAGTTAATCTTCAGTGTCATTTGATGACTGACATGACCTGTTCAAATTAAAAACATTTGCTCTTATTCATTAAATCATTGACTTTACTACTCCCTTAATTCAATCAACTAAACGATTACTTCCTATTTATTTCTGCAAGTCATATCAGATCGTATCTTGAAAATATTACACTTGGAAGCATCGGAATATAGAATTGATATCGTGACATATACATGTACAGTATATTTATTCCAATGTATATGTCACATATTTAACGCTGCGTATCTCCCGATCCAAATATTCCCGAGCTAGAAAATGTTTTTTATTCAGTGTAGAAACAGTCAATTTGTTAAAATATCTTGCTAAAGCAAAACTGTCAAAATAGATCCAGCAGATCGTAGAATTTTCCTTAACCAAAATGATGCTGGATTTCTCGAAAAGAATGAGAATGAGAACGCTTAATAGAAAACAAACCTGGATATGCAGGTGTCCTAAAACTTCACTTGTGCAACCTCATTTTTCATAGGATAAATAAGTCAGTGTGATGATCGGTTTTGAATAATGATCACTGGGAAGATTTCAGGGAAAGAGCGTATATCATATTATGTTTATTGATGATATGTTGACATTGCTTATCGTTATTGACATCGCCGATGGCGAATAAATACCAAAAGGTAGCGCTTTGCGTGAATGTCACTCGTGGTGAATTTCTGATGGAACTTCTTACTACGACATAATAACCATTTAACAGGATATTGTATGACCACTATTAAAATAATTAAACCGAGTTGTTTGTAACCTGAGAAGTCTTAATAAACAATAGTTCTGTCAAAAAATGATTAAATTAAATTACATGAGATTCGGAATGAAAGTGCCCCGTCCATATTTTATATTTGATTAAACATAATTAGTGCCTGGGCAAATAGAATCCTTTTTATTGCAGTCAATTCAAAATATTCCTATGTTGGCTGTACTAATTCTTCAAAACTTTCTACCATTGACGTCATTGATTTGACTCATTTGCATACAACCAATCAGCGCGCCGGAAATTATCGATTTACTTTGTGGAAAGGTGAATACGCCTCGTTAATGGCGTAAGAGATTCATCAATCCCTGGATTTCAGTGGAAATGTTGAGACATGCGCAGACCTCTATTTAGTGATATTTTCATTTCAAATATGGCGGCCAATCCGATGTCTGACGACCCTTACAAAGAATCTAGGCAGTTTGCATTTTTACCTCCTGTGAAATAACAAGTGGAATTTAGTCGTTGTTTTGTGTTTTATTATCATTCTGCATCGTAATTCTATGTGATATGGTGTTGAAATGTCAGCAGAAATACATATCCATACGATAATCGAGTGAATCAGATAACAGATTTTTCGAAAACCCGTCTCGTGCTAAGAGTGTAAAAACTTGTATTAACATGCTCAAAAGTGCCAATGAGCACATCATTCAATGTCAAGCTAAATCAATGTTGTGTCTGAAACAGGTACCTGATCTACTCAAAACAGCTTGTCATTCACGTATACACGCTTTGCAAACACGGCGAAATGATCTGAATCTTGATATTTCGTTCGAGAGCTAGTAATGTTTGCTCCGGTCTTCGTCATAAGTGCCATCAGACTTCACGCATGCTCAGGAGAAAAACCATCAACCAATAACGTTTTATAAATCAATTTTGCGCATGCGCCTTACAACGGTAAAGAAATTCGTATTTATAAACGAACCAATTTGAGATAACCCGATATCAGTCGGAGAAATCTGACGATCTACGAAACTCACTTCAAAAAATCAAATGTGGACTGACGGCGTATTCTACTATGTTTGGATCTAAGATTTTCAGTAGAGATAAAGTCTTTTATGATCTTTCGAATGAGGTAAGTCTAGTCTCTAGTTCGAAAGACAATTGTATCAACTTGAACAAAAGTTGAGTTTTGATGAAAAATTTTAACATGCGCAGAAGTCCCATTTTCGTTATACCATATTGACCGGATTTATGACGCTATTTCCATAATTCTATGCCATGTTTAGTGTTGACACATATCCCCATTCAAACATATGTACACATTATACATACATATATTATACGCAATATATAAATAAATAAAGAATAAAATAACGATATAAATCAATAGTACCTTGAATGTTCCCAGAGCCGAACATGCTGTCTAAATTGCTTTCTTTGCTGGCTGATGCGAAAGTAAGGTTTGTCAACATCTTCATCATTTCATTTTTATTATTTGGTGCTTCTGGGTAAACGATGTTCTTCATATGGTAAGGGTACACCTGCAGAAAAACTATTCTCAAACGGAAACACATCTTAAATATGAAGTTTCAAAATCAAATTTAATTGCTTTCAGTTGCTATGTTCAATTAGCTAACCCTTATGTACGTATTTGAGACATTTGTGGCAAGCAAGATTTTTCGTATAAAAGCGTCAGCACAGTGCTGTATCAATGAAGGGTTTTTCATTTTAGATTTAAATGGATCGAAAAAAGTTTGAAGTCGACAAATCCAGGAAGCCTTTTAAAAGAGAATGTAACAATCAAATAATCCTGATGTCGACAGGGTGAAAGGACTTATTTCTGTTTGATCAGAAAAACAGGAAATCACATGCCAGCTAGCTATTCTTTACCTGCAATTTAACAACTTCAATAGTTGTAGCTCGAAAATAATCTGTAGCAGATATATGTATTTCCACTGTATAGTTTAGTTCACTGTCTCCAGGGCCTAGCTGTACCCCTAACAACTCGGACTTATATGTATTAGCCAGCAATGCTCCTAAAATAGATTAAAATTGAAGAACACATCCTTTTGATCATATGAAACTAAGGATATACCCTAATATTTTTAATCATGTGATCGGTTCTTATCCAATGAGAAAGCGAGAAACATTTCAATGATATAATACACTAATTTATTTTGATTTTTTTTGTATAACGCATGGAAACTAACTTGAATAAAAAAAATAGTACCGTGGGTACTGGGCTCACATGGTGTTGCTCAAAAGTGAAAATAAAAAAACGGATATAATTTTTTGCAGATTTTTTGTGACAAAATTATTTCATACAACTACTCTTTACAAAGACATGGTATTTTACAATGCAGGACACCTGAACTTATTTGTAAAGCTAGGAAATGGGCCAAAAGTGAATTTCCCGAGACAGAAATGGTGGCCATTTTGAAAATAGGCGAGATTTTGAAGCAGGAGTCACAGTTTTTTTTTCTTTATTGATGTTGAACAAAAATATTTTAAATCGGGAATCCTATTTAAAGAGGATTTAAAAACAGCCAAGTGTTGACAGACAGAGGTTTTAAAACTTGCTACTATTTTGGACTGACTGAGAGACAGATGGACAAATCAATGTTAACTAAAATGGCTGAAAATAAAAAACTGATATAATATTTTGCCGATTTTTTGTAACAAAATTATTTCATACAACTACTCTTTACAGTGACATGGCTTTTTACAATGCTGGACAGCTGAAATTATTTGTAAAGCTAGGAAATGGGCCAAAAGTGAATTTCGCGAGACAAGAATGGCGACCATTTTGAAGATAGGCGAGCTTTTGAACCAAGAGTCAAAGGAGAGTTTTTTGTATTGATGCTGAACAAAATTAACTTAAAACAGGAATCCTATCGACAAAGGGTTTAAGGCAAATGGACAAATCAATGTTAACTAAAATGGCTGAAAATAAAAAAAATGGATATAATTTTCGCTGATTTTTTGTTACAAAATTATTTCAAACATCTACTCTTTACATTGACATGGATTTTTTTACAATGTAGGACACTTGAATTTATTTGTAAAGCTAGGAAATGGGTCAAAAGTCAATTTCGCGAGACAAAAATGGCGGCCATTTTGAAAATAGGCGAGCTTTTGAACCAGGAGTCATAGGGGAGTTTTCTGTATTGATGTTGAACAGAAATAACTTAAAACAGGAATCCTATCGACATAGGTTTTAAAACGTGCCACTATTGTTGACGGACGGACGGACAGACAGACGGACGGACAGACAGACAGACAGACAAGTGAGCGATTGCAAAAGCTCATCATGTGAGCTAAAAAGTGAGCAATGTCATTAGTATTGTGATAATAACGTCCCTTATACCTATATATAACAGGTCGTGTAGACCATTGTTGCCCGATTTATAGCAAAAACATTGACTTTTACACGTTGGTGATGATGCGCCTTTTTTCATAGATCTCATCTTAGAAGGGTATCAGTTCAAAAAAATACTAGATGACCTAATATATTTTGTCATGCACTGCGCCTATTTGTTAGGCAATTCAGTTGTAAATTTTCACTTGAAAAATAAATCTTCCAAATTTGTTGAGTTTTCTTACAGAAATCCCCTAACCCCCCCCCCCATCCATTTTGTACGATCACCGGGCTTGATTTAGTGACATTTTGAACAAAAGTCATACTTTAACGGGATAACAGAACAAAAAACAGGCAATGATTTCCTGACTTTAACTTACCTGTTTGGTCTAACCCTGTCGCAAAGTAAAACTCATAAGTTACTGGGTCATCATTATCTTGAAAATTATCGCAGTAAATGTCAAACTCATCCACGAGAGTAACTCCTATAGGTGGAGACACTGTACAAGACCTATGTGGAGCTATGGGCGGCGTATTTGTTGTAAACTTCAATGAGGCAAATCCAGAATCAATGTTTCCCACTTTTTTGACACCTACGTCAATAATACATGAGACTATAGTAAAGCTAGAATTACAATAGTATATAATGAGGTTCAGCAGTAACGAAATATCACCCTCTGGTTCAACACCTGGTTCATCCAGCACATCATACTCTATGGAACGATTATCTTTACATGACTGAAGCTTACAATCTTTCCTATTCAATCATTTATACTTAATTTAGTTACACAATTCGTAATATAATTATAGTGTACTTCATACGCTTTAGCATGCTTTGTAAATAATAGGTATAAATGTCATGTCACCGGTGTAAATGTTGAAATGGTTGAACTGATAACATTATTTCTCTGACAATGAGTAAACAGGCTTTTTTAGAGTACCTGAAACAATGAGTATAAAGCTACATCCCCCAGGCAAGGTGTTTGACCTGATGCTCACAGCTTGATTATACTGTCCCGTTAAGCTCATTGTCGCCCAGTCTGAAAGAAAACAGGATTTGTCATTATGTTGCGTAGGTGATTGACCTGATGCTAACAGCTTAATTATATTGTCCCGTTAAGCTCATTGTCGCCCAGTCTTAAAGAAAACAGCATTTGTCATTATGTTGCGCAAGGTGTTTGACCTGATGCTCACAGCTTGATTATACTGTCCCGTTAAGCTCATTGTCGTCCAGTCTGAAAGAAAACAGCATTTGTCATTATGTTGCACAAGGTGTTTGACCTGATGCTCACAGCTTGATTAAACTGTCCCGTTAAGCTCATTGTCGTCCAGTCTGAAAGAAAACAGCATTTGTCATTATGTTGCACAAGGTGTTTGACCTGATGCTCACAGCTTGATTATACTGTCCCGTTAAGCTCATTGTCGTCCAGTCTGAAAGAAAACAGCATTTGTCATTATGTTGCACAAGGTGTTTGACCTGATGCTCACAGCTTGATTATACTGTCCCGTTAAGCTCATTGTCGTCCAGTCTGAAAGAAAACAGCATTTGTCATTATGTTGCACAAGGTGTTTGACCTGATGCTCACAGCTTGATTATACTGTCCCGTTAAGCTCATTGTCGCCCAGTCTGAAAGAAAACAGCATTTGTCATTATAAATCATTTTGCTCCTCATAGGAAGTTACATGAGATAGCAACGTATCAGAATCCAGTGGTGTCCCAGAAGAATGTGTGTATGGGGTCACCTAAGGACAATTTCAGGTCATTTTTAGGGCAATTAAATAGAAAAAGGTAGTAGACCATGGTACCACCTTTATCACTAAAAATGGCCATGGATAAAGGAAAATTAAAAGTGAACAAGTCACCGGCCTGGGTCCAAAAATGCTTACAAAAATGCTTACAAATTACCCTATACCCACATACTTTGATACATTGTATTTTTTTTCTGAGACACCCCTTGGTTTTGAAATTTTGTAATCTTATGAAACAAAATGATATATAACATGATATGGTGGCAATGCCACATGTATGAGGGTGTTGCATTCATATGAAACACCCTGTATATGAACAAATAATATGTGTGAAGAAATATTACGTTTTGTTGAACATTTGTTCTGTTAGTGATTTCAAATCCCTTAAGTGACACTGTAGGGAACATTTCAAATGTGTGAAAAGAATTTTAGCTAAAGACTCAATGCGTTGTGGAATGACCATTCCGTTCAGTGGTTGATTCCTAAAATTAATATTTGATAATGTGCGTCTCGTGCAAATTTTGGAAAGCTACAATATTGATAGTGTAATGACCTTCGATAGCAAGTCGCTACTAGTCTCAGCTGTAGTAGCTAGCCTTTATGGCTCAGGGGTTAATGTAGAGCGTCTGACTCGAGAGCGGAAGGTCCTGGGTTCGATTCCCGTACGGGGCATACGGGACTCTTTCGAGTCCCGTATCTGGCTGAGTACAGTACAGCTCCCCGACAGGCGTGCCCAAGGGTCGTTACATTGGTGTTAGAAGTGGGATTGCCCTTGGGAATCAGTTACGACGTGGCGTCATCTTCTAGGGGGGATGGTGTAATGACCTTCGATAGCAAGTCGCTACTACGTACAGTCCCAGCTGTTGTGGCTAGCCTTTATGGCTCAGGGGTAGAGCGTCTGACTCGAGAGCGGAAGGTCCTGGGTTCGATTTCCGTACGGGGCATTGAATTTAGCTCATTCGAGTCTAGTATCTGGTTCGGTACACTACAGCTCCCCGACGAGCGTGCCCTTGGGTAGTTACAATAGAATGGCCATTTCAACATTGCACGGAATCCTGGACCTCTATCCTTGAGCAATACTAGTATATTATTTTTCAGCTCAAATTTGATTTATCTGAGTCATATGACCGACCAGCTACCACATTACGAATCGCTTGTTGGTTTGGGCTTGATTGTTTGTTTGTAATACTTGCTTTGTTAATTTATTGATTGTACGTGGCAATTTCTAGATTGAAGCTCCGAACTGTTTAACAGTCATCGCTGGTTTTGTGGCTTTTCACGTTTTTGTTTCGTTTTTTAATGCACTATATATTTATCTAACAAAAAAAAATAGTATACATAATGTATCTATAGGATGATTTGTTGGCAGTATGCAAAAATGAGTACAAGCGTTTATACCAATAGGTACAATCCGTCTCTACGAACTTACCCATTGTGAAGTCACAATCAAGAGAAAATATGGACCAATCAAAACTGAGATCACTTTGTCTTCGGCAGTTTGTACAGTGAGCTGCCATGGAGAGTTTGCTGTTAGGAGTCACCTTGTACTTGCAATTCTGAAGGCACCTGGAAAATGTTTTGTGTTTTTTATTTGATCAATCCAAGCATAAATTCACGCCAGGTGATCGGTTAAATTTATTGGGGGAAGAGGCAGCAGAGTTCTTCATCACTTCTACATTCTTTCTGATCACGTGGTACTACTTCAACCATTCACCATGAGCTTTGCATAATCAGTCTTATTGATGTTTTACTAATGAAGGTACATGAAAATATGATGACAGCAAAAATACTCAAATACTCACAAAACATGAACATTTGGTTTCTCTGCAGGGACAACTATGATCATCTGAGAAAATGAGACTGGGTCTCGTTTTGCCTTGCTGACTGTCACAGTGAATAAATATGAGCTATCCTCAAGCAATGCTGTGTTAGGTACAGTGAAGTTGGTATCTGAAACAACATTTTTCATACTAATTTGCATACATTTCTACCAGTAGTGGTTTGAGATTTTCATTCAAAAAATCATCCCTGGAAATTCGAAATCGATCCATCAACTTGTTCCCCGTGAACATACACTCCCCTCCATAAGTTTGGCAACCTTAGCTCCCCCATTGAACTACGTGTTAAAGCCTCCTTTTATATTTGAATTTCTATTTACATAAAATCTGTGAAGAAAATACTTATAATATGGATGGGTATGTAACTTGACTTCATTTCCTATGACCACCCTACAATAAACCAAAAATGGCGAAAAATTATTCTGTTCCAGGTTTTCATATAGCATATACAAAGAACGTTCTCTGAAAAGTTTAAATTGATCCGTCAAATGGTTTGCCTGAAAACGCGTAGACTTGACCTTACATACGAGATAATAATGGCTCCACTATTTGAATCACACAATATGGTATAACTGAGAAGCCCATTCGGGAATCGTTTTTTACGATATTACAGACTTGCGCCCTGTATAAACCCCAAATCCAATCCCATTTAGTAATTAACCTCTAACTATTCCATATGTTTTCAAGGAAAAATGATAAAAAATGAGAAGAAAACTTGTAATCGTATTGACTGAAATATATAGAAATCGTAGTTATTGGAAAAATGTATGGTTACATAAGCGCAAATGCCAAAGGGAAGGGTGACTTAAAACTTAGAAACCCAACAAGAAAAGCAAACTGTAAGTGTAAATCTGTCATAAGAAAAGTAGACCCTATACCAGGTCGTTCAATAAGTTCATGCAAAAACACTCTCATTTTTTTTATTTCTCACTGTTTTTCTTTGAAATTTTCACAAGTCATAGAAAAAATACCTACTCATTGAAACACAAAAAATGAATTACTTTGTTGTGATTGGTCAAAAGTTATGGTTACTATGGTAACCCGTGTTTTGGTCACGCGGGGCAATTTATGACGTGAAAAAAAGTTAAATTTTAATGGAATTTTTGTGATTTATTAGTCGCACATTAAGTACACTCTATAATACATTGTCTTTTCAAATTGAAGTTCCTCATGTTCAAGCAGGTCACTTCATTAAGTGCTCAAAATATTCCCCTTTATACTGGATGCATAATTCCTGGCGCTTCACCCATTCTTCGTATTGAGCCCTGAAGCCACAGGGGAATTTAGTGCGCATTGCACTCTGCACAGCTGCAGTGAGCTCTGTCATGCTTGCGTAACGAACACCTCTCAGTTCATCCTTCATCCTATTAAACACACCAAAATCCAATACAGCCTCATCAGGGGAGTATGCAGCCTGGTCTAAAATCTCCATCTGTAGGGTATCTCGGATGGTGTCCTGAACCATATTTGCTCGATGACATGGGGCATTGTCTTGGTGAAATCACTGCGTGAAATATGGGATTCCAACTCTTGACACGTCTAGAAACTGGTCTTTACACGCCGGGTTTCTAGACGTGCAAATTATTTACACCTCTTGACACGCGATGAATTCAACTCTTTACACCTCTTTGCACTTCTTGGCACACGCAGTGCAAAGACGTGTAAAGACCATGTCAAAAAGTCTTTACACGCCCTGTGACAATTAATGGAATCTCTTGACACGCTCTTGGCACACTGAACAACATAATTATGTGTAAACAACTAACCTAATTACCAATAGCAATACATACAGTATTTTAACGATTGCAAGTATTTTCTCTGATACTTTTAATTGATATATTTTTAATCATTCTTTCGCAGACTGTTTGGAACAAGTACATGTAGCAAATATTAAACATTTTGGCAATTTCATGGCGCCTTTTGAAAATATAAATCAGTTACAGGCAATGCTAATCGACGCATTGATCCTAACTGAAGGAAATGCATATCATGATAAGAAAAAGAAAGGCGTTTCAAGGATAAAACGTGCAATAAACTTTGAAAACACTGATACATCAGGCCTATTTATATATTTATTTTGTATTAGCTTAATATAAAGATAACCTTACTTTTCGATGAGTATTTGGATTTCGGAGTAATTTGTTTCAAGTTAAGTCAATACAAATTTTTGCCGACTTAACTTGTAATATATGATAAATGAGGGGCATTTTAATACACAATTGGGCAAAACAAGCATATTCAATCGAATGTACCATTCTCTCTGCTGTTCTTTCCCAGCCTATCCATAAACAGACAGGTACAAGTTCCCATAGTTTTCGCAACATCTAATTCTATGATCAATTGCTAGACACAGCAAATATACTAATTAATTGTCTGATTGTGATTCGGGAACGTAGGGTTTTTACATAAACAGGATACTTGGCTGTACATAGCCCGAGAACACCGGATTGACCCCCCCCCCCCCCAATCGACGCCTAGGCGCTGCTTATGTTTTAATAAGAAACATTCCCTTGTAAAGAATTATCGGGATATAAATTGATACAAGGTCAAGTATTCTGCCCCTTTTGTGTGATAAAAATATGTATTTAATTGGTGCTTTAACTTTTTGAACAAAGAAATGAAATAATCGCACTGAATGTCTCAACATAAATCAGTGATGTTTAATTAATAAAGTCAATCTACGCACTTCATGGACATGGACGGGGGGGGGGGGGGTGTGAGTTACCCATTCTAAAATGGTTAAATTTTGTATTAAAGAGTAATCAATAGGTCGTGAACTCCGATTGATAACCAACTGTAGCATACTACTTAATTTGTTTGACTATTGATATTAAAAAGGAGTGAATTTATGATATTCATAGAGGTACATTGTATTGGTATTAATATAATAATGATATTGGGGACCATAAACCACTTTGTTTCGCAAGTAGCTTTAGGATCGCGGTTTTATCTTCACATGTTGCCCTTTGTGCAATTCGAAAATGAAATATTTTAATCTATAATTTATATATCATTTGCAAAATAAATGTAATTAAGAGACATGGGGGAGGGGGGGGGGGGTTAACGGCCAGAATTTGGAATGAATTTGGGAATTTCAAGGATTGGTTCACTGGAGTCGATACACACACCTGCATAACAATCGGAGACAAAACTGACTTAATCTGATATGATAACAAAAGATTAATAACTTAGTCTATGTTTTTGTTTTTATAATTGCGGAAGTGTACCAAAACCACCTTGATTACAGAAGATATCGTCTAGGCTTTAGATTTAATGAATAGATTTTTTGCCCTAGTCTCATTTAATAAAACAGGCTATTTGCGTATTTAATTAATATTTGTGACAAAATAAATCAGTTAGACTCAAAATCAAAACGAATTTCTCCATTATAGCCCCCCTTGCAACTGTCCCGAGTCTGCATCTGTTTTTCATGCTTCCGATCCACCTTTGGGATAGAGAGAATAGATGTAGATTTGTAATTTGGGGGGGGGGTGGCATTAAATGTGTTCTCATACAAACTAAAATAAACCCCAAAAAGCCATATCAAATGTCCAAACACAAGACCAATGCCATGTCAAACATTCCAATATAGAACCAATGCCGTACCCCCGGGTACCAAATATCCAGAATATAAGACCAAGGCCATTCGAAATATCGAATGCCCCGAGAAGAAGGTAGATCTTTGAGTAAAATGGTCATAAACAACCTCAAATGAAGGATATGTGTAACAACTAGACCAATGCCCCGGGACCAATGCCGTACCACAATTGAGGGGTAACATATTTTCCACACCGATTCTTATACCAGAAAATGGAAAAATCTGTCTTAAAATGTGGGTCCATTGGCTTGACATACCAAATGTAAAAAAGGTACCCCACCTGAGCCGAGTGTGAACCCCCGGGGTGAATGGTGAACACACGGGGCAAGGAATTCTTCGATTTTGATTCAAATAATTTTTTTTATAAAATTCATACTCATGTTAATAGCGGACGCCTTGGCCAAATAATCGTTCAAATCATGCACTTTCCAAGTGATTTTGTAGCAAAATTGTGATAATATATGAACCCTTGGAATTATTCAAAGACGGACCCCCGCCAGCCCATCCCCCATTCTTACCTATGCTAAACACTAAGATAAACATATAGAATGGTATCTTACACTTTTTTCTAAATGTTGATATCCAAAAACCATATCTTTTTGGTTTATCAACACATACCGCTCACAATATAACAAGTATACAGATTGTAACATAGGTAAGCGAATTGGGGAAAATTACAATCCCTTTGATCAAATTATTATAAGATTTAATCTCCAGCTGAGGTGCAATCAAAATGTTGATACACATAATTAGCAGTCAGAAAGATGCTCTTACCACTGTAGTTTTCAAGATTTCATATTGGACTTTCCGCATAATGATAAAATGTTGACGATATAGTTTTCGATAAAACCCCAGGGCCGCAGCCAGCTTTCAGTCGGGTGGAGGGGTGATGCAATCACCAAAATATTTTAGGTTTTCAGTCGGGGGGTGCGATCGTGACATAAATGAGGCAAAAAATATTTGTTTTGAATTTTTACGAAAATGATGCAACTTCCTTCAAACCTGAGCTAGAAGCTTCAAACAAAAAATCAATTTAATGCTCTTTTCTTCCTCTACCTTATGGTACCTTTTATTGCTTGTAGGAGAGGGTGCGAACCCACCGCTTCTCCTCGTTACGCTTATAAACCCAATAACGTATTCCCAAGGAATCGACTTTATTAATTTATATGTGAAAAATGAGCTTGCATGTACAAATTGCATCGTATGCAAACCTTCCCCTGACCGACCCGGTCATGTTTATGTCTTTTGAATGATGTCTACCCCTTGATGCATGCATCCTTTAATAAGTGGTGTTAAGAATATTGGTGTAGGCCCTGGTGAAGGGATATGTCATAAAGATTTCACGTTATCGCGATATACATGTAGCAGCGTCCCCTTTGTCTTTATCCTTCCAAACGCAAACGGCAGATAAGAGGGGTTCTTACTGATTGATCTGATGCTTAATAAGCCACTTACAAGATACAGTTTTAAATATTGATATTGTGTAAAGTTTTAACACATAGGCGTAACCAGGG